TTAATTTGTTTAAAAAAAATAAAAGAAATAGATTTATCCAATATAAAAAAAAAAAAATCGGTTCTTATTCGATTTTTCGGTTCTTGGTCTAGAACCGAGAACTGAACCAAACTATTTGGTTCTCGATTCGGTTCGATTCGGTTTGGACATTTGCCCAGCCCTAGATACTTCCAAACTTAGATTTTTTGATCTAGTTATAAACCTTCACATTAAACCACAGATCAAAACACACAAGATCTTTGATCAAATATCAAACCTATCTTCGCCAATTAACCTTTAGGAGGTAGTGTGAGGAGCATGCGGTTCAAGAGGGCCAAGGTGATTGCAGGAAGAAGATCAGAAGAGACTAAGAGTTAGTAGGGTTTGAACCTGTAAGTCTCATCGCTTATAGTGGATTGTTGACGACAAAGTGTTCGGAATTTTTGATCCTTCACAAAAGGTTTCTCCATGATCAAATTGGCGTTTTTTACTTTATGCAAATTACAAATTGTGGTATTCAAACATAGTATAAATTGATTTGGTTGTCATAATCATCTAGAAACAATTAAAAAGTGACTTGTTACTTTTAATTATGTAATTCCGCACGTTGAGTCTGAATAAATCGATCATCTAAACTTTCATCTTTGATAATTACCTTTTAAACAACACCGAATCCACCTTGCCCGAACTTATTAGCATCAGAGAAACTGTTTGTTGCAGCTCTAATAGTACCAAAGTCATATTCGAGGGATTCAACAGTACCAATTTCATTGTCAGCTTCAACAACGTTTCAGCCAATTGTAAATGCAAGAACATGAAGATAGAGATTGACATACATAAAGACTGGTATTTAAAGAAAATTAAACTTACTTTCATGTATTTCTTTTGTTTTACTCTTTCATCTCATTCTTAGGACGATGCAAACGCAAAGAGCAAGTATTAGGCCCACAACAATTTGAACAAACTTAATTATGATGGTTCGAGTTTTATTAACATCATTTCCTACAAAATCCAGAATAAAGCCATGTTAATATTGTCAATCATTTTACTGCTTAGAATGTTTTATGTTAAAAGTAACACTTTGTTAAAATCTAATATCAATTTAGCACATTAGCAATAAACAACATTAGACAGGATTGGGCAGAACAAAATGAACAACATATTAGTTTTTTTCTTATTTAATTCTGCTAGTAGTGTCCAGTCCACCTTACAAGCATGGCATTAAAGTCATTTGATAACACCGTAGATAGTCCCGTAACTGTAAAGTAGTAAGTGGATTGCCCGTCGGATCTCACGCACAGTATATATATATAGAGAAGTAGCATGTCTTATATCTACTCAAACTAAAATAGAAGTCAAGGATTTTCTCACCTGGAGGTGCCAGTATTGGTGGTTCCCGTACTGGTGCTGGTGCTGGTGGTGGCTGAGGAGTATCGTTATAAAACGAATAGGTTTCATATTGAAGAATGCAGCTGGGGGTGAAGATACCAAATCTTGGTTTCCCATTACAACACTGTGGTATAACTTGGGCAACCTAAATCAGGCAATCTCTACAATCCTCCAAGGTTAAATCAGGGGTGCACTGCATAAGTCCATAAATTGTCAAAAGAATCTGGTCCAGTCCTATTCGCAGCACCAAACTTCTTGAGGGAACCACCAAAAGCTGCCTGGCTGTGTAGATTGTTCAACAATGTCGTCAAATCCCAGTTGAACTCTTCTGGACTCGTCAAAATTTTTTGTTCCACCTATAAAAGTCGGGGAAAGTTACAAGTGTTCTGAATATGTACTCATCAGAATAACGTAGCATGCACCAATTACGTGGATCCTGAAATGTCGCCTTTTTTTATTAGGGCACAATTGTAAGATAGAGCGCGTGGCATTATAGATACAACTGCGACAAATATCGAGTTGAACATCTCCTCTACAGAGTGCAATGGCGTTGACTCTATCAGCATATTCTCCCATGGAGGCATTATAGAATCCATTGGTATCTGTATTATAGGAGACCGAGGATAGGAGACAATTCAGGTTTGCGCTGTAGGTACTATTACTCATGTAAGTACCATTCTCTCCACATGGATAAGTCTGGGATTTAACAG